TAAATAAATATAAAAATCTAATAAAATATATATATATATATATATATATATATAAAGTAATTTGTAATAAAAATAATAAAATAATATATTTTTAATGTAAATATATAAAATAATTATTAAAGTGATGTTTATAAAAAAAATTAATTGACACAATTTCCTAGAAAAATCACACCCCTTACAAAAGGGTGCCATTAGCACCCCCTTATTTATTCATTTATTATATGACATCAACATTTATGAACTTTTTCCATACCGCCTAAGACCATCCACATCCCTGCAATCCATTTACATTTTCAACTGTGTCACGTCAGCTTTTGCAATTATCACCTACACACCTGCAATTCAACTACACTTTCAAAAGTGGTCCCCACTACAACATTTCAATAATATATTTTATTAAATATATATAATTAAAAAAATAATATATATATATATATATTAAATAAGAGTAATTAATTTTATATTTTATTTAAAAATAATATATATATATATATTAAATAAGAGTAATTAATTTTATATTTTATTTAAAAAATAATATATATATATATATATATATATATATTTAATAAGAGTAATTAGTTTTATGTATTAAAAAAGGATGTGGATGGTCTAGGTGGCATTGCACTTTGAATTGCAAATTTTGCAAGTGCCAGACTAAACTTTGGTGATGTGGCCATTTGCAATCCCTTTTGAAATGGTTTTGCAAGTCGCATGTGGATGCTCTAAACCCACACAGTTGTAACACCTTTGACTTCCATACTCTTCCGGCGGCTATTCACCAGTACACTCTTTTTGTTTAGATATTTTATACTGAAATTATATCTAAAATCATATTTGACTCCTACGATTTTGGCTGTAGGAGGTGTTTAGTAGTTGACGAATGATTTTATGCATAATCATTAAGTGGTCAGAATCAGTAAGAGACTCATAATATAGTTCAAAAGAAATATAATTTTTTTGGTAATTGTTTACAATAAAATTAGGGCTCTTAATGGTTAAGGGAGACACATGATACAAAATCATTCAGAGGGTTTTAGAACCATCAAGAGACATTTTTTTTTTTGTCAAACAAAATTCACCTCTTAACGATTCAAAGATTGCCTCTTAATGGAACTATTAAGAGGTAAACAAACAACCCCTAACTCTGAGATAGCGGGTCATGTTGTACACCCTTGCATTGATCGTTATCGTGTTTTTTTTATCTTGTTATTGTTCTCGTTTGAACTTCCATCACACATACGCATGCGCGCACGTACACACACACACATATACATGACAGACTCCTGATTTTTTTTCAAATGGTAACACTATTTAACTATAAAATACAAATATATAGAAAAATTCAAACTGTAACACCATTTGATTAAGAAAATGACGCTAACAAAATTCGAACTCGAGTCTGGGATGAAAGAAAATCATTAGAAACCAACTCTACCAAAGAATATTTGTTCTCATTATAGTTCCAAAATACATACAATTGCACACAATAAATTAATACAGTTACACATTTCACGAAACTAAGTTTTTTTTTACCCTTTGACGGGTGAATAAGACGGTGGCACCTGCCACTAGTAGCACCATTGTGGGTCTCTCTCTCTCTCTCTCTCTCTTTCTTTGTGTGTGTGTATATATATATGTGTGTGTGTGTGTTCTTTTGAGAACTTATAAAATTATTAGAACCAATGCACGGTATGTTATTTCATATGATTATTTTCATCTAAGGCTGTGATTTAGGATATTCATTAACATATATTTGTTTCATAATATGTTTGTTTTACATGTATTCATTCACAGTGTGAAACTTTATGATGTGTTTGCGAAACAAAAAATACACATAAAAAATGTATCACAATCAAGTACATATGTATGAAGTAAACACATTGTTAAAACAAATATATGTTAATCAAATACGTACTACCTTAGATGGAAGCAATATCATGTGAAACAATACATTAAGGTAAAAGTTCTCACGACTATCATAATATATGAGTTCTCATTTGATTAAGCATATGTGTGTGTATAAAGAAAGAGATTTGAAAATGCAATGTTATTTCACAATGTAATTATTTTTCATATATATTTTTTGTTTCATATGTTGTAATACATAACACATGTATTATTTTACAGTATAAAACAATACGTAATCAATCGTTCTCAAAACTCTCAACTATTTTATGATATATATATATATATATATATATATATATATATATATTTTTTTTTTTAATGTGCCACTTGCAGCTGGCAGGCCAATGAATCTGTTGGTACTATATAACTCTTGAGTTAGCATCTTCATTTGAAGCATCTCTCTTTCTTTGAGTTCTCCTAATACAATGGCCAGTCCTGCAAGAAGGTTAGATTTTTGTTAATAAATCATTATATTATATAATGTAATATATATATATATATATATATATATATATATATGGTTGGGTTCACGTGAGACCAAGGGTTTTTCGTGAGACCCGTAAGACTAATTTATGTTCATTGATGAACTTTATAAGCTAATGATCTAATGGTCTAAAGTTGCACGTGGACAATTTTGTGATTATTGAGAAGTCTCGTGGCGTTTATGAATGTTCAGATTGTCAGATTGTAGATCTAATCCAAGGGTTGAGAATTGGTCTTATGGATCTCACGAAAAACTCTTGATCTCACATGATCCCAAGTCTATAAATAGTTTTTAATGGATTGAAACTTTTTTTTATTTATCAATTCTAGTTTTTCATGAGATCTGAATTATACAAAGAAAAACTGAGAGTTTGATGAAAATATAGTACGGTATTATTCCATTTATAGTATAAATTATATGTAAATCAAGTAATTTAACATGAATGTTTCTATTTATGTAAGCTTGAGATATTTTTATTTTAGTAATCGTTCTTGAATTTACTTTGAAACCTTATTTTGAAATATTGTACAGAAAATAAAAGTAATTTTAATCGACTCTGATGTCATTTTTGTTGTATGTTAGTTTGCATCTCAAAATAATATAAATATGAAACTTTATGTTACTATAAACACAGGCTAGAAGGGAAGGTAGCATTGATAACAGGAGGAGCAAGTGGTATTGGAGAGTGTACTGCTAAAGTTTTTGCTGAACATGGAGCAAAAATTGTTATCGCAGATATCCAAGACGAACTTGGTCAGGCAGTTTGTAAGGCTATTGGCGTATCAAACTCTATATATGTCCATTGTGATGTAACCAACGAAGAAGATATCAGAAACGTTGTAGACACTGCGGTCGCCACTTATGGAAAGCTTGATATCATGTTCAATAATGCAGGGATAGCAGATCCCAACAAGACACGCATCATGGACAATGAAAAAACAGACTTTGAGCGTGTGCTTAGTATTAATGTCACAGGCGTCTTTCTTGGAATGAAACATGCTGCTAGGGTTATGGTTCCAGCACGAGCTGGCTCCATAATTTCAACGGCTAGCATTTCTTCAAATGTTGGTGGTGCGGCCTCACATGCTTATTGTTGTGCAAAGCATGCCGTAGCTGGTCTAACCAAGAATCTTGCAGTGGAGCTTGGACAATTTGGTATTCGAGTCAATTGTTTGTCGCCTTATGCAATGGTCACACCACTAGCCACGAGTTTCCTTGGGCTTGAAGGGGAAGCTCTGGAAAACGTGATGAACTCACTTGCAAATCTTAAGGGACCGACTCTCAAAACAGACGATGTTGCTAAAGCTGCCCTTTTTCTCGTGAGTGACGAGGCAAAATATATCAGCGGACAAAATCTTTTTATTGATGGTGGGTTTAGCATTGTTAATCCATCATTCGGCATGTTTAAATATCCTGAGGATCTTTAAATCGGGAGAGTTCATCTTATTTTATCTTTTAATAATACATGCTTACTAGGGGCGTGTTTCTATATTGTATGACCACTAGTTTACGACCGATTTTCATTTCGTCTTAAATTTGTTATTGGTGTTATGGGCGTATGATGTATACAAATCAATCAAGTATTCAATATTCAAAACCCAACCACATATGTCACATACGGATCATACATACACACATATATATACATATATACACACATATATATACATATATACACATATATATACATATATACACACATATATATATATATATATATATAATAGAGAGAGATTTGTAAAATAATACTTTGCAATCAAAACAAAACTAAAAACATTAAACTAAGATTGAGTTACACGTGGACATTCACTAAGGGTGGTAATTGCTTACCCGGTAAGCGCTTATCGATAGAAGTTAACACTATGATTTATTTTGATGCTTAAGATTATAATATATCAAAACATATTGAATGCAACAATTTACTGGGTAAGAGTCGTCATCCTCACTTACTGGGTAAGACTCTTCATCGTTCTCATCGCTCTTACCCGGTAAGAACCTTGGCCCTTCTCATGTTCATCCGATGAGGAAATTTATCCGGTAAGCACTTACCAAGTAAGTGTTTAGTAAACGGCCCCTTAGTATGATCTCATGATGAATTAAAACGTGCATTGCCATAATGAATTCAACCGCTGCATGCTTTCAATAACTCAAGCAATCATTTTATGAAATACTACCAAGAACACTCGAGAACACTTGGTTTCTGTTTGGTTTGCAGGAATAGAATGGATTTGGAGGGATTTCGATTTCAAATCCATTCCAATTCCATGTTTGGTTTGTTGCATTGTTCGGATTTGAAATCTTATGATTTAATTGAAATCCTATAAACGTAGGATTTTGAAATCTTTAGGGAGTGCTCGGGATTTTATGGGATTTCGTAGAATTGTACGAAATAAGATATTAAAAAATGTTAAAAACATTTTATTTTATAATAATCGATTAATAAAAATGTAATTTAATTATTTTTATAATTATTTGTAATTTTCTATATTAATCATTTATAAATAATGGAATCCAATTCCTTTCCAAATCCTACAAACCAAACACACTAATTATTTCAAATCCATTCCAATCCAAATCCATAAATGAAATTTGAATCCCCCCAAAAAACAATCCTGCATATCAAACGGAGCCCTAACGAATTGATGGAACCAAACCTATTTATGGGCCGTTTACTAAACATTTAATTGGTAAGTGTTTAACGCATAAATTTCCTCATCGGATGAACATGAGAAATGCCAGAAATCTTACCGGGTAAGAGTGATGAAAATGATGGAGAGTCTTACCCGGTAAGTGAGGATGACAACTCTTACCCAGGTAAACGCTTACCTAGTAAAATGTTGCATTCAATATGCTTTGATGTACTAAAATCTTACGCATCTAAATAAATTATAGTGTTGACTCCCATTGGTAAGCGCTTACCGGATAAGCATTTGGGTAAACGTCCCCTTAATTAACATGAGTCCTTTATAAATATTGAAAACCAAGTAAAGCCCTAACCCCTAATTGTTCGCAAAACTTCCTCTATCGGTTTCATTACGTATGGACTGATTATGAATCCCTGTTACATATTCGTTGTAAATAAACCTAACAATGTGATGCAACCTATACCCGATGTTAGACGGAAATAGCATTTTTGTTACTTATTTATATAACGTGTTAGTGTGGGAATTTTCCTCTGTTTAGGCCAATTCAATACTTGATTGCTATACATGCCAATAAGGATCATGTGCATCGACACCACAACAATATATTAGCGTATTAGTGCTCTAAAATTACATGTGCGTATTTTTTTTTAATAATGCGTAACTTGTTTTTAAATGTCAATTTTTGCATACCGACCATTTGTAGATGCGTTTCATGTTTTTATTGTACTTTATCATGAATGAATGTAGCTTTGTCCGTCACATGTTGAAAACCATTTATTATATCGTATGCTTGTTTTGTATGTTTATTTTTGCATTGAATTTTATCATCTTTAAAATTATGATTTCTTCTGATAACTTCTTTAACTTGTTCCGATAATTGGAACGTATAAGAATACAGTGTGTTACAAATGTAATGAAATTTTCGACCCGTTTTCATTTAAATAATAATAAATATTTTAAATATATATATATATATTGAACAACTAAAATTAGAAAAATAAAATAAAAATATACTTTATAAATATGCCAAAATTAAGTAGAATAAAATTATAGAATAACTATTTTATCTATACTATATTATAAAACATTTGACAAAAACTCTTAAAAACAATTTTTTATGCGTAAAGTACTGTTTATTAATGCATATTACTTAAAACTCAAGATTACAAGTAGATTGTACGTAAGTACAACTTATTAAAGCTCCATATCTGAATTCGTGTAACTAAATGCAGATAAATATAATCAAATACATGATAAACATCTCATTTTAAATATAGAAAATCTAAAATATAATTAGGATAATCATTGAGTTCTAACATGATACTTAATTGTTATCTTTATAAAATTTATAATATTAAA